TGGAAGAGGTCTCTTGTCCTTCCTATTCTGTTGTCTTCTTCCACTTCCATGCATTGCTTATTTAAAAATATTGTACAATATAGTAATTTATAATACTAATATTGTGCTATGTTAATATATAACGGCGCTCCATGCAGTCATGCTGACCACATGACCTTGGAGGTGTCTGTGGACAACGCTGGCTCTTTGGCTTAGAAATGGAGATGAGCACCACAGTCCAGAGTCGGACACGGCTGGACTTAATGTCAGGGGAAAACCTTTATCTTTACTAACACAATATATTGTATTAACATACTATATTGCATATACCGTACATATAGTTTGTAAGCCGCTCTGGCTTACATCGGGGGTGAGAAGGGCGTGAGAAGGGCGGCATATAAATGTAAATACATAAACTTCCGAGAGCGGTGCATCTTTCTATCTGGACCGCGCAGTGGTTTGTCTCCTGCAGAAAAGTTCCGCCTTGGCTTCTGGGCGGAGGGAGCGGTTTTTCTACCTCCCTCCCTCCCTTCCTTCCGGGGAGGCGGGGCAAAGGAGGCACTGCAACTTCCGGGAGGTGCGGTGCCTCGCTCTGTGCGGCCCGCGCGGCGCCTGGGCTGCTGCAGGAGGGTTCCGCCCTGGCTGCTCGGCCGCGAGGGAAGGAGGGAGGGAGGGGCCGAGAGTTCCCGGTCCGCCTGCCTCTCTCTTCCCTCCCGGGCCGGGGGAAGACACCCTCCCTCGGCCCCGGCGCCCATCCTACTCTGCGCTGCGCTCACCCCGAGCCGGCGGCGCCATCTTCCTTCCTTCCCTCCTTCCTCCCTCCCTCCCTTCCTTCCCTCCCACCCGCTTGGCCCTTTGTCTTCCGGGGCGGCGCCTTCCTCGCTGAGGGGGGTCTTGACACAGCCGTGGCTCAGGGGGGCCCCTTCGGGGGGGGAGCCATGTCCCGGAGGAAACAGACCACCCCCAACAAAGTGCCCTGTGAGTCCCTCAGGCGCCAGGGTGGGGATGGGGAGGGCCTGCCCCCCCTCTCTCATCCTTCCCCTGGGGAGATGGTGGTGGGGTATAAATAAAGTTTTTAAATTATTATTATTAATCATTATTATTTTTCCCTTCTCAGGGGAGCAGGTCTTCGCCGGTCTGGAGGAGCACACCTGGCAGGCGGTGATGATGAAGCGCGACTTGAGGGGGCTCCTCCTCCGGGGCCAGGCCCCTCCCGCCCCGCCCCTCTCCGGCCCCCCGAGGGACCCCAGCAGCACCAGCAGCGGCACCGCCAGTGGAAGTGGGTCTGAGGGGTTCTGGGCTGGAGATGGGACTGGGGGGGGAGGGGTCTTCACCATCGTGGTCCATGCCTAAATTACCTCAAGATTGGACTACAGTAATGCACTCTATATAAGGCTACCCTTGAAGACTGGGTAATAGTATGAAAGCTGGGTCCAGAAGCTCTGAGCGTTTCGCTGTTTGCGCAACGCAGAACGGAACACAGATATTATGAATGGAATGTAAGAGTTCTTTAATGGTAAAACCTGAACCCAAACCCTAAATCTTACCGTAACCCTTACCCTACCCCAAATCCTAAACCTTACCCTAATCCTAACCCTTACTCTACCCTAAACCTTACCATAACCCTAAGCCTAACCCAAACCCTAAACCTTATCCTAACCCTAATCCTAACCCAAACCCTAACTCAAACTCTAAACCTTGCCCTAACCCTTACCCTACTCGAAATCCTAAACCTTATCCTAATCCTAACTCTTACTCTACCCTAAACCCTAAACCTAACCCCTAATCCTAACCTTACCCCAAATCCTAAACCTTACCCTATTCCTAACCCTTACTCTACCCTAAACCTAACCCTAATCCCAAATCCTAAACTTTATCCTAAGCCTAACCCTTACTCTACCCCAAACCCTAAACCTTATCTTAACCCTAATCCTAACCCAAACCCTAACTCAAACCCTAAACCTTACCGTAACCCTAACTCAAACCCCTTACCCTACCCCAAATCCTAAACCTTTGTAAGCCGCATTGAGTCCTTCAGGAGATGCTAGCGGGGTACAAATAAAGATAATAATAATAATAATAATAACCTTACCCTAATCCTAACCCTTACCCTACCCCAAACCCTAAACCTTATCCTAATCCTCTCCTCCTTTCTATTCTTCCACCAAATGCAACTACGAAGCATATTTCCGCCCTCCTCAGTGTGCCGCTCTCTCCTTCTCTTATTCACAACCGCTTTTGCGGAATGTGCGTAACGCACGGAGCTTCTGGACCCAGCTATCATTCTGTCACCGAAGAGTGTTCGGAAACTACAGCTGGTGCAACGGTCGGCAGTCAGATTGTTAACTAGAGCAACTTACAGGGAGCAGTCAGCCCTCCTGTTTAAACAGCTCCACTGGCTACCAATAAGTTTCTGGTCCCAATTCAAGGTGCAGGTTATTACCTATAAAGCCCTAAATGGTTCGGGACCTGCTTATCTCCCTATGAACCAGTGCGTACCTTGAGATCATCCAGGGAGGCACTGCTCTCTCTCCCTCTGCCATCTCAAGCACAGTTGGTGGGGACAAGAGGGCCTTCTTGGTGGTGGCCCACCGGTTCTGGAACTCCCTCCCTAGGGAGATCAGACAGGCTCCCACTTTGTCCTCTTTCCAGAGACTACTGAAAACCTGGGTGTTCCGGTGTGTTTGCGATTAAGCAGTCCACCAGTAATTTTCCCTGTCCCTACTTAAAGTTCAGCACTTTACGTTCGGCCCTCTTATCGTCCACCTCAACACTAAACGGTTCAGGACCTGCCTATCTTCATGACCACATCCTCCCCTATGAGCCCACATGGTCCTTAAGATCTTCCGGGAATGCTCTCTTCTCGCTCCCGCCCCAGGCGGTTGGTGGGGACGAGGGAAAGGGCATTCTCGGTGGTGACCCCTCGTCTCTGGAACTCCCTCCCCAGGAAAATTAGGCTGTCATCCTCCCGAGCCAAATTCCGTAAGGTATTAAAGACGTGGATGTTTCATTGTGCGTTCGACCGACGACTCCTTTGACAGATGATATCCAACCATGACCTGAATCCAAATTCCTGTATTTGATTACTACATTTTAAAGCTAAGCTGAATTGATACTGTTTAATTGCTCTATTTCTATGCTACTCATTCCACCTTTTGGAACAGCCTATCATTTAACTAGTTTTGCGTATTGGCCCCCTCTCCCCGCCCCCTAAATATGAGTCTGTTGTTGCTTAGGATGCTTGTTTATTGTTTATTTAATATGTTGTTCAGTTTCTAATTGTATGTTGCCTTGGGCTTGGCTGAGTCCCCTCAGGGAGATGGAGACGGGGTAGAAAAATAAAGTTCTTCTTCTTCCAGGTGACAGCGAGGAGGAGGAGGGGGAGGAGACCCCGCAGGAGGAGGAGGAAGAGGAGGAGGAAGAAGCCCGCCAGGAGGATGCAGGTGGCCCCACGGCGGCCATGAAGAGGGAGCTGCCGTCCGCGGAGCAGCTGGGGCTCCACAAGCAGGTCATTTGGGGCCACAGGCCTTCCCCTCCTTGTCACTGAGCAGACGGCAAACACTGTGAGTGAGAGGCAAAAGGGCTCCCCGACTCCTGCAGCTGGGAGCAGGGCCCTTGCGCTATATATAGTAAAGGTAAAGGTTTTCCCCTGACATTGTCCAGTCGTGTCCGACTCAGAGGGGTGGTGCTCATCTCCATTTCTAAGCCAAAAAAGGCGGTGTTGTCCATAGACACCTCCACAGTCATGTGGCTGGCAAATTTGCATGTTTTTGAACTGCTAGGTTGACGTATATAAATAAAAATATACGTCAACCTAGCAGACGTATATAAATAAAAATGTAATGTTCGTTTGTGGGATTAACCACTGGACGAATTGACACCAAATTTGGCAGCAAAACACATTCTAATCCGATCTGTGTCTTTCAAACAAAAAAAAAAAGTAAAAAACTGAAGGGGTAATAACTTGAAACTCCCCAAAAAGAAAAATGCCTTACAGAGCATGTAAGACATTTTTCTTCCCTCTCCCCATTGCGCAAGAAGAATGAAGCACCAACTGTTGTGAGGGAAGAGAAGCCTTGCGATGGAGTCCCTTTCCATGCAGGAAGGCAGAGTCCTTTTTCTTTTGGGGAGGGATTGAGGAAAAGAAAGAGGAAAGGAAGAAAGCCTGGCCCAACGGAGGGGTGGGAGCTTGGCAAGGCAAGCCCCGGCAGCAACTGGAGCCACCGCAGCAGCTCCATGAGGCCCACGTGGCTACTAGGCAACTCTTCCCCCAAGACCAGAGGATTGCAAGGCAAGCCTGACTGCAGGAGCGGCTGCACACCCCCCCCCCCCCCCCCCCCCCGCCCCAGTTGGGTGAAGGGAGGATGCGAACCATGAGAAGGCCAGCAACTCTCATACTTGGACTCCATATCCCCCCTTTCGCCCCCCCCCAAAAAAAACCCTTACAAACTGTCCCAGAGGAAGGAGGGGAAAGAAAGGGAAAGGAGAGAAGAAAGGAAGAAAAGACATTTATTATTTTAATCTATTTAATTATTATTAATTATTATTAATTATTATTATTATTACATTTACAGTATTTTACCTTATTATTACTACATTTATTATTTTATTATTACTGTTTTTATTGCATTTTCATTATTTCACCCTATTTTTATTATTTTAATAATAAGTACATTTACATTGAAGTAGGTTAGCACAATGGTTTAATAAGAGTTGGACAGTCTTATCTTAAATTAGTTTTATCTAAATATTCAAAACATTTATTGATGCCTCAATTAATGTAATTTTATTGGTATCTATTTTTATTTTGAAATTGACCCATAGTGGATGCATTGCCCACCCTCGGCTTATACTCGAGTCAATACATTTTCCCAGTTTTTTGTGATAAAATTAGGTGCCTCGGCTTATATTCAGGTTGGCTTATAATCGAGTATATATGGTGTATATCGTGTCAGGAGCAGCTTGAGAAACTGCAAGTCACTTCTGGTGTGAGAGAATTGGCCATCTGCAAGGATGTTGCCCAGGAGATACCTGGATGTTTGATGTTTTACCATCCTTGTGGGAGGCTTCCCTCATGTCCTCGCATGGGGAGCTGGCGCTGTCAGAGGGAGCTCATCTGCCCTCTCCCTGGATTCAACCCTCCGACCTGTCAGTCTTCATTCCTGCCAGCACAAGGGTTTAACCCATTGCACCACCAGGCACTAAATGTGCTATTAATAGTAAAACTTTATATATATTCTGCCCTATCTCTCTAGAGGGACTTGGGGCAGATTCCAAACATAAAAGGCAAACATTCAATGCCTGCTGAACACAACAACAATACACCTATAATAACGAAAATTGACAACTCAGCATACTTATATTATACCTTAACAATTAAAATTGAATAAAAAATGCAACCTGTTATATTAGACATAAGACAAAACATCACACAGAAGCATAAATTTCCCAGTTCCTTGGGGGCAAATAGATCGATCATTGCTCAAGATGTCTATTGAGCTGGTGGGGTGAACAGGGCATGGATACGGATGCTTCATCCTTTGCCTTTTCTTAGCCAGCGCCGCTTCTCTCACCTTGTTTCCAGGTGGGCTTCCCCACTAGCCAGGACTCACTGCTGAGCATCTCCCGGTGCCCCCTTTGCCAGCTGGAGTGCGGAAGCCGGGAGCAGCTGGTCAGCCACGTCTATCAGGTACCCGGTGGAGCCCTGGAGAAGCCCTCCCTCTCTCCCTCCCTGCAAGAAAGGGCCAACTCTGGCTAGAGATGGATGGGAAGGCCTGGAAAAGAACCAGAAAATTGGGGCGTGGGGGGTGTGTGAATGTGTGTAGAATATGTTCTTGCTGGTTGCCTCCCTCCTACTCAATGGCCAGCAAGAATAGCAGTTATGTATTTTTGTATTTACAGTATTTAGATTATGTCCCTCTCACCCCGAAGGGGACTCAGGGTGGATCACAGAACACATATACGGCAAAAATTCAATGCCAATTGTACAATGACAAGACAGACAACAGATAGAGGTATTTATATATATATAGGCTTTCCCCCATCTTTAGCCATCTTTGGAGGCTGTGCTCAGTTCCGGCCACAGGGGGTGCTGTTGCTCCATCTCCTTGCCCAAGAGCTTTCTTTGTTCGTAAACTTTCCTTCTTTTTCTGATTGAATATCTCTCTGCTTTAATGTGGTTACTCACATTTATTTACTCACATTGCTGTTTTTGATCCACCAAGTGGAAGGGGAGCTGGGCCGAAGCTCAGGATCTCACCCTGACCCAGAACTGTCAGCCTTTTAGTTGGCAAGATTTACTGCAACTGGTGATTGAAATTGAATTATATGACTCCAAATCTATCTTCTATGATCTCTCAAGTCTCCTGCCTTTTTTTGGGGGGGGGGGGGCTGTCTCCCCCATTTTCCAGTTTTTATCCAGGCCTTTCCATCCCTGACCCACCTTGTAGGCTCAAAGGACAGGAAGTACCAGGGTCCTGAGGGGGAGGAGAGAGGAAGAGCTTATAGTTGCCCTCTCTCCAAGACACTCCCCGCCCCTCACGACCTGGCCTCCCTCCCTTGCAGCACACAGCAGCCGCGGTGAGTGCCAAGAGCTACCTCTGCCCCGTCTGCGGCCGTGCACTAAGCTCCCCGGGCTCGTTGGGCCGGCACCTCCTCATCCACTCTGAGGATCAGCTCTCCAACTGCGCTGTCTGTGGCGCCCGCTTCACCAGCCACGCCACCTTCAACAGGTGAGAAACTGCAGTGGGGGGCAAGAGGTGGGATTCCCTGGCTTTGTGGGAAAGAGAAAGGACTTGCTTCTCCCAAAGGGATTCTAGTCCAAAGGCTCAGTAGGCAGGGTGGCTGAGAAGAGCTGGGAGTTGGTTTACACTGAGGATTAGCCCCAAGGGTGAGGTCGGGATAGCAATGGAAGGTATTTGTGGAAGTCTGCCCCAGGCCTTTCCCTCTGCTCATTGTCTTCTGCAGCGAGAAGGTGCCAGAAGTGCTGTGTGGAGATGCCCTGCCCATCCCACTCCCTGAGGGCTCCTCCGAGACCCAGGAGAAGACCCCTGATGGAGACCCTGCCGCCCCGGGCCCGGCGGTCTTCCCCGCAGGCCTCCTCCTGGTGTGCAACAGCTGTGTGGCCTACCGGAAGCTGCTGGAGGCCCAGGCCCCCGGGGTGCGTAAGTGGGCCGTGCGGCGGCAGAACGAGCCCGTGGAGGCCCGACTGCAGCGCCTGGAGCGGGAGCGGACAGCCAAGAAGAGCCGGCGGGACAGCGAGACGCCTGAGGAACGGGAAGTGCGGCGCATGCGGGACCGGGAGGCCAAGAGGATGCAGCGTCTGCAGGAGACGGACGAACAGCGAGCGCGCCGCCTGCAGCGGGACCGCGAAGCCATGCGCCTCAAGCGTGCCAATGAGACGCCCGAGAAGCGGCAGGCCCGGCTCATCCGGGAGCGTGAGGCCAAACGGCTGAAGCGGCGGCTGGAGAAGATGGACATGATGCTGCGGGCTCAGTTTGGCCAGGACCCCTCGGCCATGGCCGCTCTGGCTGCAGAGATGAACTTCTTCCCACTTCCCGTGGGCGGCATGGAGCTGGATGGCCAACTCCTGGGCAAGATGGCCTTTGAAGAGCCCAGCGCCAGCGCCCTGCACTGAAATCCCCTGAAAGCCATGGACCATTGCAGGGGGTCCTTGCGTTGGAGCTGCACCCTTTCGCTGAAGAGGGAGAGGATGCCAGGGTGGGACGGGCACTGCGAGTTGGGAGCAGACCCCAGCCCAGTTAGGGCTGGGGTGGCAGTCAAGAGAATAAATTAATTGTACTTGTTCTGGTCAAGACTCATTTCCTCTTTCATTTCTGGTTGTCAAGTTGGAGTAGATTCAGGCATGGAGACCAACGCCTTTACAAGATCAATGGAAATGGACAAGTTTAGCTTGGTAGAGAGAAGTTTGAGGGGCACATGAACACATTCTATGTATACCTCAAGGGTTGGCCTGAGGGACTGGGGTGTGTGTCTGTTTTTGCTGCTCCAGAGGATAGGAACCAGTGCTATAGCTTTTAAGTCACAGGAGGGGGGATTTCAACTGAACTTTAGAGAAGTATTTCTCAACCTGGGAGTCGGGACACCCGGTGAGAGGGGTCGCCAAAGACCATCAGAAAAAACATATTTCTGATGGTCTTAGAAATGGTGAACTACATATCTCCTAAATCACTGTCAATTCATCCCAAATCCCTCCAGTATTTTCTGTAGGTCATGGGCACCTATGTGGGAAGTTTGGTCCAATTCTATCACTGGTGGGGTTCAGAATGCTCTTTGATTGTAGGTGAACTATAAATCCCAGCAACTACAGCTCCCAAATGTCAAGGTCTTTTTTCCCTAAATTACACCAGTGTTTACGTTTTGGCAAACTGAGTATTCGTGTTAAGTTTGGTCCAGATATATCATTGAGTCCACAGTGTTCTCTGGATGTGGGTGAACTACAACTCCAAAACTCAAGGTCAATGCCTACCAAACCCTTCCAGTATTTTCTCCTGCTCATGGGAATTCTGTGTGTGCCAAGTTTGGTTGAATTCTATTGTTGGTGGGGTTCAGAATGCTCTTTGATTGGAGGTGATCTATAAATCCCAGCAACTACAACTCCCAAATGACAAAATCAACCCCCTCTCCCTCCACCGACCCCACCAGTATTCAAATTTGGGCGTATTGGATATCTGTGCCAAATTTGGTCCAGTGAATGAAAATACATCCTGCATATCAGACATGACGATTCATAACTGTAGCAAAATTACAGTTGTGAAGTAGCAACAAAAACAATGTTATGGTTGGGGGTCACCACAACATGAGGAACTGTATTAAGGGGTCACGGCATTAGGAAGGTCGAGGAGCACTGCTTTAGAGGAAGGAACATTTTGACCAAGTGGTTTGGCAGTGAAACCAAGTGCCCAGGGAAGGGGGGGGGGGGCTTTTCCCAAATCCGTTCCAAAGAGGCTGGCCAGGGCAGTGCTCCACGGCATGAGTAAGAGGCAGACACAGAAAGGTAAAAGCTATAGGCTTATAATTATATAGATATATAGATATATGCATATATACTGTTTACATGGTCAGCAAGTTAAATGCAGTATCTGTAAGAGCGTTAACAATAAAAATACAATCTGTGTGTACAGAGACTTTAAATGGTAAAACAGGGAAAGGGATCTGACTCAAAAGTACAAATATACAGTACAAATTGATTTATTTAAAACAGATACAAAAGAAGCACAACAAAATAGATTATCCCCCTTGGACTAGTAATGCTTCAGTAAAGGGTAGGTGGGAGAGACGGGGCCGGGCAGACGGCTACTCCTAAGGCTTGGCCTGGGATGCGGCTGGGGCTCCTGGTGCACTGCGCACACATTTGCACGTGGGACTAAGGTGCTTGCAAGGGGCCCAGGCGGGGAGCGGGGGCCACAACATCGCCTTCTTTCCTTGCCTGCCTGCCTTGCATTGTGGAGTCCTGCAAAGAAGCTGCTGGGCTGAGACCAGCCCAAGAGCCGCTCTGGGGCCCCATGGGGAAGGCACTGCTGGGCAAGGGGCCCGCTGTAGGGTATGGGGAGGGAATGACTTATTGCTCTGGAACCTGGGCTCCCGAACCCCCGCCTCAGGAAGAGCAGGGGCCCAGGCCCCCCTGCTGCGGATGACAACAACCCAGTTGGGGACAGGCTGCCTCAGGCAGCAGGAGCACAGCAGACAATTAGCAGGACAAAAACAATACATTGTGGATCATGTCAGAGAAAGCTGAGAAAAAGGCTCACCCAAGGCTCATTTGAACCCCAAAGAAAGGAGGGAAGGGACTTTCCAACAGCCCCCCAAAGCTGTCCTCCCGCCTCTGCTACCTCTCAGCTGGAGGAGTGGCAATGATGCATGCAGAGACAGCGCAAAGTGCCAATGCCAGAGATCACACACTTGGAGACAAACACAAATGCATCCTTTTCCCTGGTCCCAAGGTGAAGAAACCAGAAAGGCTCCGGGAAGGAAAGCCAAGTCCTCCCTTGCTTTTTGTATAGGGCTGATCAGAGAAGCTGCTGCTTTAGGATGCCCTGAAAAAGCAGAAGGACCTGAGGGCCAACTCTGAGGCAGGCAGGGGACTAGGTTGGAAAGCTGGTGCAGCACCTCAGGTTTAACTGCCAGCCATCTCCAAATTTTTCAAATTTTGTTTGCCTCTCTGTGCAAAGGAGTGGGCACATGCCGGGGGGTGGAGTGAGAGGAGAGCTCTTCCTCTGTAGCTGGGACCCCAACATTTCCTGGCCTGCATTGGGCTCTTTCAGCCCTCTAATCAGGTGGCATGGTGGTGCTGCATTGTACTCCCAATGGTCAGCAGCCAGGAAGGCAGGCTTTCTTCCCCTGATGTTGGCGATGGAGTGGCTCTGTTTCCCAGAGGGACCAAGGGCTCTACCTGGATGAGAAGGGCCCAGGATTCAGGTGCCCTGTTACAGCAGGAAGGGACTGGAACACCAGCCACACAGGAGGGGAAGGACACTGTCCACAGACAGGGAGCCTAGAGGGCCCATTCCTGTATAGACAAACAGTGTGGATGGGTCCTCGGATACACACGCTATCTCCCAAACTCGCTTGTTTTTTGGATCTGGCTCCCACTCAGCTGCAGGGCGCAGAGGCTGCATACTTGGAACAAGACTCAAAGGGACTGCGGAGGCCACCTTCTCCCTGGTCCCAGGTGAGGAGCATGAGCTTCCTAGACTCAGGGCGTGCTGCTGAGGCAACCCAAGGCAATCCAGGGCTTCTCTGCTGTCTGAGGTTAGGCCTGGCCCTTGCCTGCTCAGTCTCCCTGCAAGCGCCTGGCACAAGTGCTTCTCCTCGTAAGTAAGCCAGAGACCTAGTAAAGTGCTTGTGTGAGGAGGGGTCTTGGAAGTTTGCCCCCTGCCTCCAGAAGAAGAGCAGCAAGGGCTCCCCCACCTGCGTCTGCCCTGACTCTTGACCTAAACACCGCCCTGCTGGTGGAAAGGGGGGCTCTCTCAGTGGAATGCATTGAGGCGCACGGCTGCAGGGAAGGCTGGGTGGGGTCCTGGGCGACCGACCAGGGAGGTCTGAGCACAGACCAGACCAGAAGAGGCCCGATTGGGCCTTGCAGGAAAGCAATGCAGTTCTCCAGAGGGTCACTTCCCTGCATTAGAGCGGCCTTCAATAGATAGCTTGACCTCCTGAGGAATGAAGGAGGGGCGCAGGAGGGGCGGCCTGAGGGACTCCTCCCCGAGCCTCTGGGGACCGGTGCCTGCCCAGCCGAGTGCAGAGACAGCGGGGCTGAACTGGGAGACCTCTGGGGAGGGCCCTCTTCCCACTCCTCCCAGCCCTGGGGGGCTCCTCTCTGCAGCTGGGACCCCTGAGGGCTCCCGCAGGACGCCCTGCCTGCCTCGGCTGGGCCTCTCCCCACCCTCAGGGCTAGCCAGAGAAGCTGGGTGGCCGTTGAGGCCCTGGAGACTGATGGAGACACAGACGTCGCCCACCTGGAGGCCATGGCAACGGAGGGCGAAGAGCCGGGCAGTCCTCTCGGGGCTGCAGGAGGACCAGCCCTGGCCGTAGACAAAGAAAGGGTGCTCGGGAGGCACATCAATGCTCACCTTGCTCTGCTGCTCCCCCACCACAAAGTGCAGCGTCACAAGGCCTGGCCAGGCGCTCTCCCGGATGTCCACCACCGTGCTGGAGTCGATCTTCAGGCCTCCACTGGCTTCCGCACTACGCACAAAATCCTGGGTCTGCAAGTCCTCCACTCGCTTCAGTTCGCCAGTGGCCAGCTGGATGATAGCCCCCTTCATGAAGTGGGAGGGCAGGTGGCCCTGGGAGCGGGGGGCGCACTCTGCCGCCCCCTCCTCTGGGCTCGGGGACCCCGGGACGCAGTCACGAATGGCCGGACGGAAGGGGCCCAGCTTCCCATTGGCTACCGCTGTCCCCGCAAGCACCTGCCCGGGATAAAGCTGCTCCTGCTCTGAGGGCCTCCTGTCAGCTGCTGCAGCCAGAGCAGCTGCCGAGAGGTTCCTGTCTGAGTCTGCCTTCTGTCCATGGCTGCCGTGGGAGAGGTTCAGGGGACTCGGGCTGCCTCTCTCTGGAGCAGAAGCCCCAGAGTGGCCCTGGAAGGCCAGCACCCCCACCACCTGCTGCACCTCCAGGTCTGCCTCTGGGCTGCTGCGCTGAGAGGTCTCTGAGGCCTCGGCCCTCCTGGCTGCTGGAGGAGGAGGAAGGACCACCGAGGTCGGGCCGTTGGTGCCACAGTGGAGAGCCGCTGGAGGCCACCGTCCCTTGGCCTCGCTTTCCTGGACATGCAACCCATTCTCTGTGGTTCCTTCAGGGCTGAGGTTGCTCTCCCTCAGGGACGGCTCCGGTCCCAGGCTGGACATGGGGGCCTCGAATGCAGCATATCCTGGGGGCAGGTGGGACACCTGGTAGTAGACAGGGATCCGGCCCTGCGCCTTGTTGCCGAATGCGTCCTGTGCAGCCCGAGGAGAGCCTGGGTCCTCCTGGAGTAGGGGCACGAAGGGCACTAAGTGGGGTGGGCCCTGGAGCCCGGCGGTGGTGGGCAGCAGGTGGCCTGGCAGGAATCCCTGGGGAGCGTAGGGCAGCGAGAAGGGCCCCCCCAGGAACTGCAGTGGGGCCGGGGGCAGCTGGGCAAAGTGCACCTGCGGGAAGGGTGCCCCAGGGGCCTGGAGGAAGGGCGAAGCCACGCCCCCGAAGGCCGAAGAGGCGGAGGAGGCGGGGGGCAGGGCGCTCAGGCTCAGCACCGCGGAGGGCGGTGGTGGCGAGGGAAAGGCAGACACCTTGTAGAACAGTCCAAACTGGTCCACTGTCAGTCCGGCTTGGATGCCGCTGCTCCATGGGGAGGAGGAAGGGGAGGGCGTGGCCTGGCTCCACTCTGTGGGGGGGCCTCCCTTCTCTGCCACTGCGTGGGGCTCCTCAGTGCTGCTGCTGGTGATGGTGGTGGGGGCAGCTGGGGGGAGGTCCCGCTTCTTTGGGGGGAGGAACTCCTGGCCCCGCTCCTGGGCTGCCCGCATGGCGCTGACAAGGAGGAGAGGAAGTCTTCCTGGTCTTGGCCTCAGCTGCGGAGAGAAGAGCGCCATTAGGGAGGGAAGCAAAAGGGAGCTGCCGCTGGACTAGACACGGAAAAACAAAAAGAAATGGGGAGGGGGAAACAAGTTCTTTTCAGGTTTTTTTTTCCATTTTTTGCCAAAACATTTTCTGGAAAAATTGGGGAAAGAATGGCTTTGGTTGTTTATATTTTTATGATCTTTTCCCTTTTCTAGCTTCAGCTGTTTTAGATTGTTTATTGTGATATGGTTTTAATTTCTGTTTTCCCTTGTAATTCTTGTTTTATGCTTGTTTTTTTGCTGGGCTTGGCCATCTTGTGCTACCCTGTTTGTATTGGGCTTCGTCCCCATGTAAGCCTCACCAAGTCCCTTCGGGGAGATGGTGGCAGGATACAATAATAATAACTTTATTCTTATAGCCCGCCACCATCTCCCCAAAGGGACTCGGGGTGGCTTACACGGGGACCAAACTCAAGATAAACAAGGTTGCAAAGTAAAACAACAGTCAACTATATTGCAACAATAAAACCAACAACATCTAAGACATCATAAAACATAACATCATAAAACATAATCTTCATTACCGCATCCCCCATAAGGTACCTACACGAGCATTAAGATCTGCAGGGGAGGCCCTTCTCTTGGTCCCACCACTGTTTCAAGCGCAGTCAGTGGGGATGAGAGAGGGGTCGTTTTCAATGGTGGCTTCCCAGCTCTGGAGTACCCTCCCCAGGGAGATTAGGCAGGCACCACACTGTCCTCCTTCCATGAGGAATTGAAGACTTGGCTGTTTGGACAACTAGCCCCAATGGTCCACAATCAATGACACAGCACTGCACTTTACTCAGTAGCTACAATTTGCACAATTCATTACCTTGTCATTGCGTTTAGTTGGACAGGTTTCATGACAGATCTCACCATAGGTTATTGGGTGCTGGTTTTGAGTTTAAATTATTGCTTTATTTATATGCTTTTGGTTTTATTCTGTATTGTATTGTGTATTTATTTTATGCAATGTTTTAGGTACATTGTGGCATATGTAAGTCCCTTTGGGGTGATGGAGGCGGGTACAAAAATAAATGTATTATTATTATTACAACAGTCTCGCTTATCCGATGTTCCGTCTCATTCAACGCTCTTATCCAATGCTCCCGCCCTTTCCTCCAGCATTTCACCTCCAATTGAAGGAGCGTTCACCAACTCTCTACATTCCCAATAAGTGAAAAAAGCAAGACGAGGAGGAGGAGGTCCTCTAAATTTCATGTTCCTCTTCCGAACCCGGGCACTTCCTGCTTGGCCGCTCTAGCCCTGAGGCATTGCCTTGCCTTAACCCTTTGAATCACCGTTGTTAGTATTCTAGGTGTCTAGTGGATGGATAACAGTAGGAGACTCCATTATTATCCAACATTTTCATTTATCCCACGTTCTGCTGGCCTGTTTATGTTGAATAAGCGAGACTCTACTGTATTGTTGAAGTATTTCATGGCCGGAATCTCTGGGTTGTTGTAGGTTTTTTGGGCTGTAAGGCCATGATCTAGAAGCATTCTCTCCTGTGACGTTTCACCTGCATCTATGGCAGGAAGCAAGAGTCATTGCCATCTTGAAGCCAGGCAAAGACCGTAATGATCCAAAAAGCTACAGACCAATCTCCCTGCTGTGCCACCTCTACAAAGTTCTGGAGAGACTTATTCTGCATAGAATTATGGAAAAAATAGACCCATGTCTGATTCCACAGCAAGCTGGCTTCAGGAAAGGCAAAAGCTGCACATCGCAAGTGCTGAACCTGACTCAGCACATGGAAGATGGCTTTGAAAAGCAGGAGATCACAGGAGCTGTCTTCATAGACCTGTCAGCGGCTTATGATACTGTGAACCACCGTCTCCTCCTGAGAAAAATGTATAATATCACAAAGGACTACCATCTCACCCGTCTCATAGGAAACCTGCTACAGAGAAGCCAGAGAAACCTGCTACAGAGGCCAGAGAAGCAGATGGCGGAAACAGAAGAGCGGCCTGCCTCAGGGGAGTGTGCTCGCTCCATCCATGTTCAACAGAGAGTTTCATCTATGCTGATGATCGTGCCATTACCACTCAAGCAGGGAGCTTTGAGATGGTTGAACAGAAGCTCTCCGAAGCTCTAGGTGCTCTTACTGCCTATTACAGGGAAAACCAGCTGATCCCTAATCCATCTAAAACATAGACATGTGCCTTTCACCTTAAGAACAGACAAGCATCATGGATTCGAACCTGCGACCTGTTGGTCTTCAGTTCTGCCGGCACAGGGGTTTAACCCATTGCGCCACCGGGGGCTCCTCTGAGGATGGCTGTCACAGATGCAGGCGAAACGTCAGGAGAGAATGCTTCTGGAACATGGCCATACAGCCAAAAAACCTACAACAACCCAGAGACTGGACTGTATTATTATAATAACCAAACAACAAATAACGGAGAAAAGTGGGTATGTGCAGATTTGAGGGCGGAACAGAGCTTGAATAAAGTTATTATTATTATTATTCTTTGGAAGTAAACGAAAACAAATCCCTCAATTTTCTGTTTTTTTTCCTCCCAGGCCTTCCCTATCCTTCTCCCTCTCTCACCCGCCTTCCTCCTCTTCTTGTCCGCCCCCGGAGCCGCCTCCTCCTCCGCTGCCGCCGCCTCCTTCTCCCCCGCTTGGCTCGGCCCCACCGCGGCCAGGCTCCTCCATCCCGCCGCCGCCGCCTCCTCCTCCTCGGCCTGGGCCCGCCCTCGGCCTCTCCTCGGCGCGCCGGAAGTGCCGCGAGCGTGACGTCGCAAGAGCGCGCGGGATAGAGAAAGAGAGCATAGTCAGGCCCTTAGTGATGACGCATCGGTGGTTGCCAAGGCGACGGCGGGGGAAGCCGTCCCCGCCCCAATAGGAGCGATGGCGAGGGAGGGAGGGAGCCGAGGAGGGAACCGAAGAACTCCAGCTCCGCCCCTTGACCTGAGAACAGGCCCCGAGCCCTTCTCCTTGGGACACAAAGCCGTTCTCGGAGGAACTGACGGGCGGAGGGAGAGAGGGAGGGAGGGAGAGGCGCAGCGGTGACTCGGCAAGCGCGTGACGTCATCAGTGCCTGCCACGCACGGCCTCTCACCCTTCACCCCGGATGCCTCCGCGGAGGGAAATAGTCCCTCGGCAATCTGCTGCTAGAGGACGTCTCGCTTTCTAGTCAGGGAAGGGGAGGAAGGGAGGCCGCGGCGGGGCTTCTCCGGAAGGGGAACGAGTAAGGAAAGAAGGAAATACGGGCCAGAGAGAGGTAGAGAGAGAGCCTGAGTGAGATCCGGAGAGGTATCCTTCCGCCTGCGGGAGCGGTGCTGAGGCCGCGCCGCCGCCATTTTGGATGCCAGGCTCCTGGTTCTGCCGCCGCTGCCGCCGCCGCCTTTGCCGCCGGGACCCGGCCCGGTGAGTGAGCGAGGGAGTGGGGGAGACAGCCAGGGCCCGGAGGAGGTAGGAAGGGGAGGCCCCGCCAGGAAGGAAGGGAGGGAGGGAGGGAGGGGAACACTGGGCCCTGCCCTGCCCGGCCCTGCCTGGCCGGGTCGGAGTTGGGCCTCACCGTCAGGTCCCTTGCTGCAGGGAACTCTTCTCCCCTCCACTGTCTTCCCTCCCTCGCTCCCTCCTGGCTGAGAAGGCCTTCCTCTTGAAGGGAGAAAGCTGTGAAAGCCAATCCTGGTCATTTTTTATATGCAAACCGTCCCCGGGTTGCAAACACCTGACTTACAAACGTGTCCTAGGTCAAATGAAGCTCAGATAACAAGAAGTGGGGGGAATCCACTCCATTATACTAGTTCTATCTGTCATATGGTAGTCCCAGAGTTACAAATGACTCCTAGTTCAAAACCTGGCTGAGACAACAGGAAGTGAGAGGAATCGGAAGGAAGGGAAATCCACTCTCGGAAGAGTTATTGTCAGGGGGAAAGACTGGGTGGTCTTTTGGGGTCCCTTCCAAATTTATGATGCTAGTTCTATCTGTCATATGGTAGTCCCAGAGTTACAAATGACTCCTAGTTCAAAACCTGTCTGAGACAACAGGAAGTGAGAAGTATCTTTCCCTCGGAAGGAAGGGAAAAGTCATCATCAGGGGGAAAGACTCCCTTCCAAATTTATGGTACTAGTTCTATCTGTCATATGGTAGTCCCTGAGTTGCAAACATCCGACTTACAAATGACTCCTACTTAAAAACCTGGCCGAGACAACCGCATTGAGTCGCCTGTTTGGGCTGAAAAATGCGGTATAGAAATAAAGCAAATAAATAAATAAATAAACAAGAAGTGAGAGCAATCTTCCCCTCGGAAGGAAGGGAAATCCACTCCCGGAAGAGTCATCATCAGGGGGAAAGACTTTGGGAGTCCCTTCCAAATTTAGGATACTAGTTCTATCTGTCATATGGTAGTCCCTGAGTTGCAAACACCCGACTTACAAATGACTCCTACTTAAAAACCTGGCCGAGACAACAGGAAGTGAGAGGAATCGGAAGGAAGGGAAATCCACTCTCGGAAGAGTCATCGTCAGGGGGAAAGACTGGGTGGTCTTTGGGGGTCCCTTCCAAATTTATGATACTAGTTCTATCTGTCATATGGTAGTCCCTGAGATGCAAACATCTGACTTACAAATAACTCCTTGTTCAAAACCTGGCAGAGACAACAGGAAGTGAGAGGAATCGGAAGGAAGGGAAATCCACTCCTGGAAGAGTTATTGTCAGGGGGAAAGACTGGGTGGTCTTTGGGGGTCCCAAATTTATGATGCTAGATCTATCTGTCATATGTGTGTATCACACACATGCACATACAGGTAGTCCCAGAGTTAAAAGCATCTGACTTACAAATTACTCCTAGTTAAAAACCCGGCTGAGACAACAGGAAGTGAGAGGAATCTTCTCCTCGGAAGGAAGGGAAATCCACTCCCGGATGAGTTATTGTCAGGGGGAAAGACTGGGGTCCCTTCCAAATTTATGATACTAGTTCTATCTGTCATATGTGTGTATCACACACATGCACATACAGGTAGTGCCTGAGTTTAAAACATCTGACTTATAAATTATTCCTAGTTAAAACGGGACTGAGACAACAGGAAGTGAGAGGACTCTTCCCCTCGGAAGGAAGGGAAATCCACTCCCGGAAGAGTCATTGTCAGGGGGAAAGACTGGGTGGCCTTTGGGGGTCCCTTCCAAATTTATGATGCTAGTTCTATCTGTCATGTGTGTATCACACACATGCACCTACAGGTAGTCCCTGAGTTAAAAACTTCTGACTTACAAATGCCACCCAAACCTAAAATTATAAATAGGTGTGTGTGTGTGGCTGGAGTAACTTCTGGACTGCCTGTATATCAGTAGGTTGTAATTGCTTGAATGGTATTGCCTATTTATTTTTAGCAGTTCTATGTTTCATGTTAATATCGTGTTTCAGTTGTACATTGTGTTTAGCATTGATAGCACTATAAGTCTGCCTTAAAACAGGAAAGCTGGATATAATACTGATAACAATAACAACAGTGCAGGCAGTAGTCTTCCTAGGGCCATTGGCAAAAGAGGCTTGTCCCTGTGGTACTGACCGGACAGTGGAGCTGGCTTAAAAAATGAACTTGTTAAAGGCTCCCAGCAAAACCAAGCCAGGTGCAATTTCCAGAAGCTGACATCAACAGCCCTAGCTTCTTTCAGAGTCATATAACACGGGGACCCTTGGAAGCTTCCAGATGGAATTGCAGAGACCTGTAGCTTGTTGTGGTTCTTCAAGTTCTTTTGGAGGGGGAAGGGATTGTCTTTGCCTTCCTCTGAGAGAGTGTCACTCGCTCAAGGTCCCCCAGTGGGTTTCCCCTGCTCTGGCTCTCCCTGGAGTCTGACTGTTCCGTTATTGTTCTCTTTCGCAACATGTGCCTGGCTCAAGCGCCATTGAAGCTGCAAAAAGTTTGTCCTGTTCTGAAATTAGTTGCTTAAACAAGATGTAACACCCTAGGGCCAATGATATCTTGGAATGCCGGGACAGGAGAGATTCCTGGAGGAAGGAAGCTCTGCTTATTTGTTCAGGGTGGTGCATAGCTGCTGCAGGATTACTGCCATGATTTCCAGAGGATTGGAGGGATGCGCTTACGGGGGGTCTTGGAAGGGCAAAGAGAGCAGTCTGGTGTATTGGGCAGGTGACTGATTATGCAGAGTGAGCTCAGCTAAGATTCCCAAGCCAAACAGGTCATCCTCCGTTTCCTCGCGAGAGGTTTGTTGGCAGAGCACACGCTGCCTGCCTGCCTGCCAGCTTGCCAGCTTTCTCATCAGGAGCAGTGATGGAGAGGAAGGCACTCTGCTGGAAGCCACTGGCTCCAAACACCAGGGAGAGGTCTGCTGGCAGGGCTTGGACAGGGCTGCTGTGTAGCCATAGGGCAGCCTTGGCTTGATTTGCAGGACGGAGCAGGGCATGGCACAAACTGACAACTGCTGGGCAGGGAGCAGGTGCCTGGCTGTTCACCCTCTGCAGGCTCTCCTTTGCTCCCTTGCTGTGTGCCTAGACACTTCCTTGCCACGTGTTTGTATGTGAGGCTGGGAGGGGAGCGAAAGTAGCGCAAAGGAATGTGGAAGTGTGTGCCTGTGTCATGAGCGGGTGAAGGAGGGTGTGTCTGGGCATGGCCACCTCAGCTGGATGTCTGCACCCCCAGGGAGGATCCCCTTCCTGCAGAGAGAGAAGGGAGGCTGCAACCTCTTCCTGGTTCTCGAAAGTGGCCCAAGTGGACAGGGGTCCTTAATCCAGCTGAATTTTTGGGCAAAAATATCTCCATTCCCAGTTCAAAGAAACCGAACCCATTTTTGCTCACTGCACTCCTCTTGTGGCATTAAGGCACAGGCTTCCACACTGAGCAATCCATGCAGCCTTGGCAGGCAGCACAGGAAGAAGCTGAGGATCTAAAGGGACGAAGACCCTATCAAGGCTGGGAATGGGAGTGCCGCTCTACAGCCTCTGATAGAAAGCTCTCCTTGGGCCTGTCTCCAGAGCTGCCCCTGTTGCAGACTATCTGGAGCATCAACCAGGTGCATTTTTAGTGCTCACATGTCTTTGAGCAGTAATGGGAGTCAGTAATGGAGTCTAAAAACAGCTGTTCCAGAATAAAGATGGTTTGGGATCATAAGGATGGTCTCTCTGACTTGCTCTTGCCTCTGCAGGCAGACAGTGGCTGCCATAAAAACAGTGTGCAGGAGCTGTGTGTGTAACTGGGTTGCTCACTGGAGTCTATTGGATGCTGGTTTCCCTTTAACTTGCCACTAGCAGAATGTCACTGCAGCCCTGAGCCTGACAGTGTTGTTTTGATGGAGTTAATTGTAGGCCATTAAGTGAGTTGCTCTCAGGATGGGAAGATGGAGCAGCTGTCCTTTCCATAAAACAAATGCATAAAAGTCGTGGTTTACTGAGGAAGGTTGTCCAAACATTAGGGTGACACAGCCGAGGACTGGTCTGTTCAGGGGTTGCCTTCTAGCTGTTCCAGGGGAACTGTGTCACTTTAGTGGAACCTGGGTGCAAGGGATCCTTGCAAAATCAGCTGGGAAGCAGATGGCTCTCACAATCTGCAAGGAAGGCAGGGGAACCCCTGGCTCTTCTCAGCAGTGTATTCAGCGGCAGTTTGAAAAGCATCGGAATCCAAACATCACAAGCCTATCTATGGTTGTGTTGTGCCACAAGTGAGGCTTCTTCTTGCAGAACTCTGAGTGGAGTAAGCTGCCCACCTTCCTTGCTGAGCAGCCGGCCTTTTCATATATGTTAGGGGTGATTTGATTGTGCTTTTACTGCATGGCAGGCAGTTGGACTAGATGACTCATGTGGTCTCTTCTAAATCTATGATTCTGTCACATGCAGCTACAAGCAGATGTTGATAAAACACACTGTCAGGCCCGAACCTGGGATTGGCAAGCTTTTTCCGGCAGTTTCCCACTCCTTGTGCATTCAGCTGACCTTTTCCCAGGGGGCCATTGCTGTCCAACCTCCAGAGATTAAGGAGTTGGAGGAAAATCCCTTTGGCTGCTCTGGGGGTGCCAGTGCTGCACCTGTGGGGGGTTGGAAAAGCAAGGTTAGCCACAGTTTCTGCCAACCTAGCAGTACAAAAACATGCAAATGTAAGTGTATCAATAGGTACCACTTCTGTGGGAAGGTAACGGTGCTCCATGGAGCACCATGACCTTGAAGGCATCTACGGACAATGCTGGCTTTGTAAAGGAGATGAGCACCCCCCACCCCACCCAGAGACAACTAGACTTAATGTCAAGTGGAAATCTTTACTTTTTAAGATTATTGAATCTCTAGGTATAGAATATGTGGAGGGTCCAAGTGTACAAAGTTTTCAGCTTCAAGGAATATAGAAC